GTGTGGCAGCGTGTGTGTGTCAGGGGTGAGTTGTGGTAATGTGTGTCGGTGAGTTTTGGTGTGTGTTAGGGTGATTTGTTGTGTGTGTTGGGGTGAGTTGTGTGACGTTTGACAGATATATTTGGGAGCTGAGTAGAAGCTTGTGTAGAAAGAATTCTGGGATGAGCAGTAGCACACTTTGAAGGTGCGTGTTGATGTATGAAATAGAGTGTGTTGGAGAGGTGTGTGGATGGTTGTGTAGACTGCTTGTCAGGGTGTGTGAATGGCTGTGTGAGCCTTGTGCATGGGTGTGTCTGGGTGAGTGAATGAGTGTGTAGGCTGCATGTCGAGGTGAGTATGGATGTGTGTGTGTTGGACATGTGTGAGATTGAATGGAAGAGTGTATAGGGAGTGTGAAGGATCACAAACGCATGCACATGCAAACACACTCATATTTACTCACTAACATGCATATATATAAATATTACCACATACCACATCACTGCCGTAGGCTGACAAAACGCCTTTTTTTCATTTTGGCACCAATTTTTTTCATTTGCTAAATCGAAAGCCTGATCATGGAAAGCCTGATCAGTTACCCTACTTGTGTGAAAAAAACCCAAAGTAAAACTATCACTAGTTTTTTTAAAGTAAATTAGAATTCATAATTCAGAAGAACTCAATTTGTTAATGGTCACGCTGACCCCCAAAAAATCCTTTTTCTCGAAACTGCTGTGAATAAAAAAGACATTTTGTTAGTTTATGGCAGATCGATCGGTTGCATGCACCTTTCAAACCACATCCTATGTCTCATGCCTCTCCCCCCCCCTCAGGTGGCGGTGAGAAGGCTCGGGAACGACAAACGTCCCGTGGCAAGATGCTTCCTCGTGACCGCATCAACAACCTGCTGGACCCTCAGTGAGTGGTTTCTCTTTGCGTGCTGTCATGTTGTGGGCTCCTATTTTGAGAATAATTGGGGGTGTCAGTCGCACTTTTAGGCTCACAATTGTAATGTCGTGGGTTCGAATCATGTCAGGGGCCCGACGTTGTATCCTCTGGAAAAACACTTTACTCAAATTTTTCTCACTTCACCCAAGTTGGAATGGGTACCCGGCTAAAAGCAGTGAAACATTTTCAAAGCTTGTTAGTTTTTGATTGCTTCATCAGCTGTTTGTACTGTATGCTTACCTAGAAGCCGAAGATGTTTTTGAGTGTTTTAGGGTCTTGTTGGGGTAATAATATAGTCTAAAGCTCATAGAGCAGGGATATGCAGATACAAATGCTATTATTATTATTATAGATTAGGTGACTTGTTTTATTTGCAATTTGCATGACTTGT